CTTCCCTGTCGTTAGTTTCCCTTGTGTGTCTCCTGTGCTCATCAGCACCAGCCCCGCCCCTGATTGTTTTCACCTGTGTCTTGTTGTCGTGTGTTTAAATTCCCCAGTCTCCCAGTGTTCATTGTCAGTTCGTCTTGTCTCATGCCATAGTCTGGTCTATGCTCTCTTTGTGCTCAAGAAAAGTTTTGTTCCTCACTAAATGAACGATTTCCTTTTGTTCTCTTTTTTTGTCATCTCATCCTGAGATTAGATAGTGACCATTTTTTGTTCATCTTGTTTTGGAAAAATAAAGTATCTTACCAATACTTTACCTCTGTCTCCCGGGTTGTGCAATTGGGTCCTATATCCTGAGTGTCTGAGTTCATAACAATTATCTAGTAAAATACACCAGCTGCCTTCATTATATTGACTTGTGTTTCACATGTTTTCTTTCTCTCAGCCCTGAAGTGGTACAGAGCCAAGTGTAACATCCAGGCGGAGATTAAAGAGATACAGGAGGAGCAGCGCTCCTTGTCGTCCGTGGAGACGCTGTCCGTATGGAAGCTGTTGCAGGTGCTCAGTGTGGTGGTCATTAACATCGGGATGCAGCTGTCTGGCATCGATGCTGTAAGTACTATTTGGAAACTGAGTAATGCAAGAGGGTTCACAATGCTGTGATGTCTGCCACAATGTATTTCTTTATATAAGTAAATACTATTTAAGGAATTCCCGAAGTGGTCAAACAGTTTAAAGAGGAAATTCCTTACACCCAGCATACACAAGTACAGGCATCTTTATGCATTGAGAAGATATCAAGCCATTCCAAACAAAAAGCTATTCACTAGAAAGGACAATGTACAAACAATATGCTGTTTAAAGACAGGGGATTTGGGATCACCCAACCCCCCTGTCTTTAAATAGCATATTGTTTGGTAATAATGAATTTTAGAGGAAGGGGTGGAGAAGAATGAGGGATGTTGTCTTCTCAGTCTTGTCTGGAGGACAAACTGAAGTCCAGCATGGATTCTGTGTTGATTGGGCCAAATAGGAAAATCACTGGGGGTCCGTGGGCCACACAATACTTTTTAAATGAATCGCTACAAATAACTCTTACTTACAGTAGTGTTAATAGGTACTAATTCATGAAATGAAGTACTCCCATGCATCTCTTTTTTCACTATAATTCATTGCAGAAAGCAACCAGTCCATACAAAAAAATAGGAAAGCTATGGTTACAAGGCTTGACACAAAAGATCAAAATGTTGCATCTTTAAAACAAAGGAGACATGAGTTTATGTCCCAACAGGTCCATATCCACTAATGTAGAAATAAAGATCAATATGATTAAACAGTATTCATCACATTAACGATAAGTAGCCCTGTTTATATAATATCCTCAACACTTCCAAGCATACATAAGGTGCTTTGAAAACAAGCCCATATCCAGCCCATACAATGAAATACTAAAGGTAACTAGAACATAGTAAAACAGTAGCCATCAGACTCACAATATCTTGGATACATTTTTACAATTGAACAGTAAGAAGGCTTGTTTGAATCATCATAAATCAGATCTGTCTTTGCATTTACACTAAGAATGCATTACATTCCTAAGTCAGGTGATGAACTACAGTTGAACTACAGTACATCATTCAGACTTCTGTCATTTTGAGCCTCTCGTGCAACTTTTCATTGGTCATGGAGCAACTTGCCCTTGTTTGATGGCATTCATATGAGAAAAGCTATACTCACAAGTATAGGTAGATCCAAATGTTGTCAGTATAAGCGAGGCCACATTCCTCATTGTGGGGTACTGCTACTGGCTAACATGGTTAGACCAAAAGTCTACCTCACCCTCAGACTGCAAGTTACTGTTTTAAAGCAAAGGAAGACTGCACATCAACCAGCTCCATCTGAAAGATGCTCTCATCAATGCAAGATATTACCTCTTTTACTTTTACACAGAAATCTGTATCAGGCTTGATGGAAAATGTGTCACGAGCAAACTGCAACACCTCAATGGGAATGCTGAAGCCTTGGAATCTGAAGTTCCCAAGTTCTCAGTCAATTGTGTCATGAAGTCTGTCATGACTGGCGTTCTGTGTGCTCCAGGTGATGTGCTCATAAATACACAGAGTTGTGGGAAGTGCAGCAGTTTTGTTGTCATAAGGTCTGTTTTGAAGAGCCTTAGCTTTGTCCTGAAGGCACAACGTTTTTAAGAGTTCAAGTGTCCAAAAATCTCACATAGAAAGTAGACTTCTGGCATAAACTGTTCATCCAACATGCACTCCAAGATGTTTGTTGCTCGTTGTCTTTAAACCTGCGAAGGAAAGACACAATCTCCTGGCGGAGTTCACAGAAACAGTCAACCTGGTCTCACCAGAATGCGTGACTCCACCACGAATCCTTAACACCGCATTGCGTGGTGGAGTCACAAACTTTGCTACATTTACGTGTCTGCACCACGCAAACAAGGCCAATGTAAAGTGAATGAGGCTCCTTTGTCAAAATAAAATAAGCCTCCCGTGAGTTACTACAAGCTATAAAGTAGATTGTAAAAACGTTTTATAGAATAAAAGCTCACTGCTGGACGTTGTAGAAATGCGTGTGTGCACCACGACAAAGGAGCCTCATTCACTTTACATTGGCGTTGTTTGCGTGGTGCAGACACGTAAATGTAGCAAAGTTCGTGACTCCACCACGCAATGCGTTGTTAAGGAGTCGTGGTGGAGTCACGCATTCTGGTGAGATCAGGTTGGAAACAGTCCTGGGGCCTCATTTATAACCGTGGCGTAAGCTCAAAAGATGGCATTTGTTGTGTTCAAAATTCCAGGAAAGACAGACAACTTCTAAGTTTAACTATTTATTATGAGAGAGCAAAAGATATATATTCACTTGGCCAAGGACTCCTTCACGTCATATAAATTACAGGCAGCAAAGCTGTAATCTGTAACCACTATTTCCGGAAAAAGCCCCGAACCTCGTGCGTGCATACATTTTTATTAGACAGGGCGTTGCCCAATCATATATGATTGGTCAAGACTAGCTGAAGAGATACCGTGGTTTAGACTCGGTTGTCTTTGGTTGGTGCACAGACTCAGATAGTCTCTTGGCAACACAACCTTCCAATCAGCATTCGGCCGGCCTGTGGAAGTCCCACCCTACTCTGGCACCATCATACAAATTATTTTTCACTAACGTTTCTACAGAAAAAGTGGAATCTTCATAAGGCTGCTTCCTAGCTATGTGTGGGAGCGGAGCTCACCCAAAGCTCAAGGCCAGAGTGATGTCCTGTTTATGAATAACTCTTTGTATTCTTCCAGTGTCTGCACCTGACCTTGTTACTCTGTATTGCAGGCTAAAGACGTCTATTTATTCCAAAGTCACAGCCACATAAATGAGCACAATAAGCTTATAATATAATAATAATAAGAATCAGTCTTTCTAATGTTATATAAAAATATGCCAATTTCTAAGCAATCTTTGCAATTTATAAAAAACAAACTTGACGAGAAAATGTGTGGACACTTCAACCCATCCTTACGCACAAAAACGGGAGAGATGAGAAACTGACACACCGTTGGCAGAAGGAAGAATGGAGAGAAACATATAAAATAATACCATAAATTGAAATATTACCTCTCATTTATCATATATGAAGAATACATTTGCAAAAATGTATTAAAGCCTATCTTAAAATGATTAAACAAACGCCTGTTTGAGACTCCTCAGTGCACACAAAAACAAAACTTGAAGAAATAAATACGAGCATGGTTTTATATAGAATCATGTTTAATCATGTTTTGTGCCGTTTGCCAAGACTTGATAAGTCGCTCATAAAACACGGGGGGGGTATGGAAACTAAGAACACCATATATTTGGTAAATTGTACAGCTGATATAACACAACACATTTGTTTAATTTCCTTTAACTGGGGGATAGAGTTATTGCTGGGGGGTTGAGATGCACAGGCTGCAGTGGAGACGCTGCGCACAGCTGATCGACAGCTGATCGACAGCTGTAACACAAACCACAAAATAAATAAAATAAATTGTAAACAAATAACGCAAGGCATTATAAATGAGGCCCCAGATCTCTGATCTCTCTCTCGCGTCCGGTTACACTTCACTCGCGTTTATGTCCATATCGATCAGATCCAGCTCTCCTGATCGGCCTTTATAGAGAGCACCGATCAAACTATTTAGAGTGAATATCGGCCGATAATGATCGGCGGCCAATCGATCGGAGCATCCCTAATTATTACCGGACATTTTGACCGGCAGGTTTTGAATTAATTTTACCAGCTAAAAACCGATAATTACCGGCTAACGTATTCATATCGGACGTCTTTCGCTTTACAGTTCTTCCTGTTTTCCGGCTTGCACTATACACTTGCTAGAGTCAGGATTTGGGTGGAAATGGAGGTTTTACCGTTTCTCTTGAACCCATTGGTCGATTTTGGTGATTGACATCTCTTTATGACGTTAGAGCCAATAGAATCGAAGGGGAATCTCCCCACACACACACACACATGGTAAAACAAAAAGGTGGGGGCTTCGCGCACGCAGTTTTGCTCCAGAACGAAGCTGTCTCTAGGTCTGACATCTCAAAACCGAAAAGCAGATTTATTGCTCATGGATTATCAGAAATCATTCAAAGTGACACAGACACATTGGATTAACCTATGGATTAACTTCAGCATCGTTTTTATTGTTTTAATGCCATTGAAGACCACTTTTGACCAGACTACAACAGAGGTGAGCCATGTTAGCGCT